CTTGAAGAAACACCAGGCACACAGCGCAAGGCCATTATGCCTATATAAGACGACAGTGTTTGGACTTTACAAAAAAAAGTTTCCTGTGGACAAGCGCATATAAATAATTACTCATAGAAACTGCGGCATAATGAAATTCCGAAATTTCCGTGAAAGGACTCCGCTAGTGAGAGGTCACCTCTCAGTCTGAGAGATGATTTGGCCTCGCAAGAAAGCGTCGAATACGTTACAAGCAGCTCCGTGCCTATTATGTGACGTCAGATATGTGACGTCATAGGAATGGCGATTTTTCAAGGGTATATGATAAATCGCTTACCCAAGCGTATGGTGGCATGAGCACCTCTGCGCATTTGCGCTGTTTCGCTGCTGGACAAGCTTCCAAAGCTAAATATCTTACTTTTCCTTTCAAGCTCCTATACATCGCAATTATTTCGTATTGTGAAAAAAACATAGTATTCTTGGGGATTAGGATTAGGATGTTGTAGGTTGCCGGCGGATCTAGCCTTGCGAAATTTGCGGTACAATTTAACGTTAAGCAAGGACGACAGCTTCGGAAGTGTATAGAATCCAGGTTTTGTTTGTTTGTTTGTGTCTTGTGTATTATTGTCATTGGTACTGTTATTTATGCCACGAACTGCACAAGTGATTTAGAAGAACACATTAAATAACACGCACGTGCTGATGGCAATAACAGCAGCATTTCTGATTGTACTGCTATATGTATCCAGTGGCTATGACGTAGCACTTCGACAAAGTTGCGGCCTCAATTCCCGGCCGCATTTCTATATGAGGCGGCATGCTACAAAATATGTTCATCTTATTCGCTTACGTATGACTAACCTACCTTAAATTAGTAATCATGAAAGCAAAAACATGGCGGCGCGGCAGTAAATTTTAGGTTCGGCTTGGTTTATGGGGTTTAACGCCTCAAAGCGAGTGAAGCTGGGGGAGACGGCGTATAATGAAGGGCTCCGGATAATTTCAACCTCCTGGGATTCTTTAACATGCACTATACTGACATCGTACAGTACCCGGACCTCGTGTAAATCGCTTCAATCATAATCCGACCTGCACGGCCGGAATCGACCCGGCGACTCTAGGGTCAACAGCCGAGCACTGTTATAAATTCCAAAGGACAGGGCATGCGAACCCAAAGAAGTGTGGCAGTTTGGGCTATAGTTGGTATGACGTGACGATTGTTATAGCGCGAGAACAGCCGAGCTCTCTTTGTCATCGTTCTGTTCTCGCGCTATAACTATCGTCACGACAAGGAAGAAGTCAAGACGCCAACGTCCCGCCGCGGTGGTCTATAGGGTACTCCGCTGCTGATCCGCAGGTCGCGGGATCCAATCCCGACTGCGGCGGCTGCATTTCCGATGGAGGAGGAAATGTTGTAGGCCCGTGTGTTCAGATTTGGGTGCGCGTTAAAGAACCCCAGATGGTCGAAATTTCCGGAGCCCTCCACTACGGCGTCTCTCATAATCATACGGTGGTTTTGGGACGTTAAACCCCACATATCAATCAATCCACAATCAGGACGCCAACAAACGACGACTAACAACTGCAAAGACGCACAACGGGGGGGGGGGGGGGGGGGGGAGAAGGCACGAAGACATATGCGCATGCCCAATCAACAGGCAAACCTATCAGTCCGATACCCACTGGAGCCTACGTGAAAGATAACTGCTAACGCTCTTGATTTCAATATCTTATGCATGTTAATCGACGGTTGAAACACGCACGCGCTACCTCTGTTATCGATACGTCGTGCTTCCATCATTACGCGTTTCTTCATTTCTGTACAGATCTGTGGATTCTCGAATTTCGGTGACGAATGCGTTTGCCTGGGCACGTGCAGATAGCAACGAAAATCAGCGCAACACACCTGCCCAATTGATTGCGAAAGTGAGTTTGCGCGCAATCAATTAGCGCCGTAACCCACCACACACACCTGAGTGGATGTGTTATGTGAATTTGAGTGTGTTTTTTTTTTTCGGAGAATTCCAAGTTTCGTTAATTTCCTTCGCTTTGACGAGTTACTAACTAGTCTAACAACAACAAGTTCTAATAAAGATGTGCACATAAGTGTTCGTGCATTCTTTCCCTTTCGCCACTGGGCCTCTTCAGTCGATGGTCAGCGTTTGTGGTGCCTTGACTTATTTCTTGCGCCCGTGTTAGTACGCCCTGTTTTTTCTGTTATTCTGTTAATAAACAATGGGTCACCGAGGCGGCTAAATTGTCAATTGTAGCGTAGTGCGAGAATTGTCGTTCACGACGAGTTAATACAATCAACCAGCTACTTTCTTTTCAACTAATGTAACGCTAAGGATGACAATAATAATAATAATAATAATAATAATAATAATAATAATAATAATAATAATAATAATCTGTATTTTTTGTATGAACATTTTTGAGTAATAATAATAAATGAGTTTGAGTTTGACATAATAATTGTTGTTGTTGTTGAAGTTGTTGTTGTTGTTGGGGTTTTACGTCCCCAAACAAGGACATAATTATCAGAGGGCTCCGGAAATTCCGACCACCTGTGGTTTTTAACGTAAATCTAATAAGAACAATAACTGTTAGGGTATAACGTTCCAAAAACCATGATATATATATATATATATATATATATATATATATATATATATATATATATATATATATATATATATATATATATGATCGTAAGAGCGCGGTAGTCGAGAGTTTCAGTTGTTTCGACGCCAGACGGGCTGTACAAATTTAGGGACTTACCATTCGGCTTATGCTGCACGCCTGCTTTTTTTAAGCGCCTCATGGATGCCTAAATCTAAGTACACGGACTTCGAGCGCTTCGCCTCACTCTAAATACGGCCACCACGGCCGGGATTCGATCTCGCGACCTTCGGGCCGCATAAAACCCCCTAGCCACTCCACCACCCTAGAGGCTATATATAGGGAACGTAATGATACATGACGCATACACGTACACAAGCATCTTTTAAGCCCATGCTCAAAGATGCTTCAACATTCAACTCAACAAAGGCCCTGGATGGTCAACATTCTTTTATGTTACAAATAAACAGCTACATTCCTGACGATACTTCCCTAATGCAAGTGCCACTCGAACAAGAAAAGTAAATAACAACCATCCATCACCGAGCATAGAGTATTCTACAAGAAAAATATATTTAAATATGTGCGCACTTCTATAGCCGACCCCAAGGAGATCTGGCACGATCTGTCCAAAGCAAGCCTTCGATCTGTCAAACTTGAATGGCACAGCCGGCGCGCAGACAGAGGGCGCTAATTAGGGCTATATATTACGTCGTCTTCATGCTGGCTCATTGCTGGCTCATTTGCTGCGCTGTTCACTTCGTTACGTGGAAGTTGCATGAAAAAACGACGGCTCAGCAGCTGCGACTGTCAGCATACGCAAGCGTCTCTCCTACAGTCGTCGATGTTTGCGGAGTTTCGAAAAGGTAAGTAAAAAAAAAAGAAATACAACACGAAATCACACGGGCAGACAGTGCTTTCAGGTACTCGTTGGAAATTTGGGAAGGTGTTCGGGTAAGCAATTTCCTCTTATTATTGGGACTGTAGCTTCATGACAATCATATACTGTGTCAAATGATTATCATAGCAAAGTCGATTATGTAATATAGTTCCTGGTCTACTTACGATGCAATCTAAACAGTTTTCAATAGACATAGTCGTTTTATTTATTTATATACTTATTTTCTGCCCCATTTCATTAAAAAGTCATCACCTCTGTCTTAATCCCTGCCTAGCGGCACCAACGCGAATACACATACGCTGTACGAGTAATAATTAAGCTGAGACACTCCGGTTTAGTCAAGGTTACGGAGGGCCCAGCTTACTACTCAGGTTGGGGGAGTTGAAATCTACTCCACCTACCCTTCCGAAGAAAAAAATATTTCTAGCTACGTCCCCAGCTAGGCCAGTCGGCTTTTGTTAAAAACTCATGTCTCTCTCGCGCGCAACAAGATCAGACAAGTTTCTTCCCTCGTCACTTGTTGCGCTAGAGACGTGAATTTGAAAAGACGCTAGGGAACCTCGCGCGGCGCAACACAAACTAGAAACTAGAATCTGTCGAATGTAAAAGAAATCACATTTACGATGCAGTGACGCATTCGAAAACGAATCCATCCGAATATGGGCCAATACGAATCCAAGTGGAACAGGTTTTCATCTTAAATCTTCTCTCTTGTTTTCTTTTACAGGTTCCTTCCGTGTCCAACAACAATGCAATTGCGCGCAGACATGCGTAACGAAGCTCATTTAACACAAAATTGCAGAACCGTAGCCAGGGGTTGGCACATCGGGCACATTGCCGGTGTGCCACCCCCGAAGTGTTTGAACCCCCCCCCCCCCCCGAAGTTTTGTCGCCAGAGAGTTGAAAAGGGGCCCTTTTAAGAGTGGGCCTCTCCCGAAATCGAAGTGGTACCCCCCCCCCCCCCCCCACAAAAAAAAAAAACAATTTCTGGCTACGCGCCTGAAAAATGGGCAGGTTTCCCCTAAGCAAATTGCACGGCTTGCGGTCTGCCAGGATTCCCTACGAACTCCCGAAAGAGCGCCTCACTTCTTTTCTCGTAATGTGACCATTAATGCATCAGATGAAGTATTTAACCGGCCGTGAGGTTATCAACGTGACGCTTCTCGTCATTCCGATTCTGGGCACGGACAGTCCAAATGGTCAGGCACTGCTTCACGACGTCTTAACGAGACGTGGTGAGTGAACGTTGTAAACAGAAGGGAGGAAGACGAGTTTGCCGAAGGCCCGCGCGGATACAGTGCACCCGTCCCGACAGGCCCTTTACGTTTGTCACAGGGTCAGTGCCGCCTGCCCTCAGCGAAACGCCCAGTGCAGCGCGCCGGCAACAACAGCCGCTCGCTGTCAACAGCAAAGACTTTACACGCGCTGACAACACTCGCAAAAGCGAGAGGGGGCGCGGCCCATGCTCGTTTCGCGTCTCAGCCTTGCAAACACTCACTCTTTGGCATTCTTGCCGGGGTAGTCGCCTTCGAGGTACGGTTCGCTGGCGCAGTCGGCCGACGAGTCAGACTCGAGCTGCTCAGAAGTGGCCGTGGAGCCAGGGTCCACGGTTATCTCGGGCAGCACGACGGCCGGCGGCAGGTGCGGCGGTGCGCCGATCCGCACCAGCTCGATGGCCGTCTTCTCCGAGAGGGGCTCCATCTCGATGTCGGAGTCGATGCCTCGGTCCAGGTCCATGTAGTACGAGTCTCGCGAGCCGCTGGAACCCGCGCGCAGCCGGAGGCTTAGGTTGGTGCTGCTGTCGTCGTCGGACGCGGCCATCGCACGGACGCCACCATCCGAGCACAAAAGGCACGCGCGACGAGCGGCCACTCAAATCGGCCGCCGCGCTGCCACAGCCATGCTCCGCGGCGACGCTTCCATGGCACGCCACGCTGTACGAACACACAAACGCACGGCGTAGACACGCCGCTTCTTCGCGAGTCGAGACCGGCCATCAACACCGTCAGCGTGACCCTCGGACGCTGGCGCCATCTCTCCACCGGAGCTGGAAGTGGCGCGCAAGGGCACCTCCTTTCGAATCGCTGTTGGATGGAGTGAATACGGCGAATACTTTGAATCCCCGAAGAACTGCGTGTCATTGAACGTGTCACAGTTCAACGAAGGAGATCAATGTGATGCGAACACTTTCCGTAATTTTCTCCTTTGTGTGCCTATGTGAGGAGAGGCGTGGGAGTGCGCGAAGAGGGGAGGGTGAGGTGAGGGTATCCCCCAATGAAGAACCCTGCGAACGCCTATACGCGAGCGAGATGTTTCATGCTTCACATAGCACGTTTGAAAGCTATTAAAATAAGTTTTCCTACCAAGCAAAAAAAAGAAAATAATAATTTCTTCAGAGCTTTTTTCAAAACTTCAAGAGCACTGCACCCTGTGAATCTGGATGACCAATCGACCAGCGAAGCTGTTTAGCCAACTGTTGACACAGAATATTGAACTTCACCTGAACACGCACCCTGAAACTGAATCCTAAGTGATTTTCTGGAAATCATTGCCACCCAGAAAGCGAATGAACATATACTATCTCTACTGACGCGCGCTAAACATCAACTGTTCAGAGAAAGCCAATCGGCATTTGTGGCACAAATAATAAAAAGGATAACATAATAAGTTTCTTGAACATTAGAGAGTAATGATTCGAACACTAAATAAAGTCATTCAATTAACTAATTTTAAAGGACATGGTGGAAATATATGAAACACAAATGTGCAAAAAGAGAAATCAAAGATGTGGAGGGCATATTTGTTCCTATAACAAAAACAGTAATGTAATTGAAAAAAAAATTAAGTGATGACTGGAATGAATTGTGGAATACAGAAGGCAACAATAGGTACATACTTATATGGATCAAAAATATTAATTTCACCCCGCATCACTTTCCCACGAATTAATACACATCGCAAGTATTTGCAGGGCATGAGCGATTCTGATTTTACATTACCCGATTTGGAATACATCAGAAGTTAAAATATCATTGCAAAATGCCGATTGAATTTTTTTATCATTATCGTCAGGAATGATCCATATTGTAACAAAAGACAGAAACGAGCTTACAAAAGAGTTTGGGGATAATCTTCAAAACAGGAAAATCAAAATTATTAAACAAGAAAGAAACAATAAAAATTTCTAAAAATGGCAGAAAATATATATATAGTGCAGCGCTAAACATTAAAGACAAAACAAAACAAATTACACAACATCAAGGCTCATAAAATAGTACCTGACATGGGTAATTGGAACAAAGACCAATATTGGAGATGATACCTTGGTCTTAATTTTCGACACACACCTAAAAATGTATTTTCAATTAGTATTATTATATTTAATGAAATATTACCAGGTAAAAGCTATAATGTTTAAGACGAAATCTGACAGCAACCACTTAGTTTAAGACAGTCGCCAAAAATTCAAGACAACAATACTACTAAAATTACTTGACGAGCAAAAAAAGCAAGAAATACAAAGAACGCAGGAACATCAAGGACTTCAAGGAACGCAATACTGAGCACACCCGCAAGCCTTCAGCAATACTTGACGAGCAAAAAAAGCAAGAAATACAAATAACGCCGGGAAACCAATGACTTCAAGGAACGCAATACTGAGGGCACCCGGAAACCTTGAGCAATGCTTGACGAGCAAAAAAAGCATGAAATACAAAGAACACAGGAACATCAAGGACTTCAAGGAACGCAATACTGAGCGCACCCAGAAACCTTGAGCATTACTTGACGAGCAAAAAAAGCAAGAAATACAAAGAACGAAGGAACATCAAGGACTTCAAGGAACGCAATACTGTGCGCCCCCGGAAAGCTTGAGCATTACTTGACGAGCAGAAAAAAGCAAGAAATACAAAGAACGAAGGAACATCAAGGACTTCAAGGAACGCATTACTGAGCTCACCCGGAAGCCTTGAGCATGGAGGCCCAGAAGACACCGATAAAGAAGTATCCTCAAGACAAGGAGAACAAGGGGCAAGAAGAGAGAAAAATAATTTAGACCTAAATTTGTTTGAATCTACTTCATGTTGCTCAATATCCTTTTGTTTATTTTGGGGAAAGGTGCTATGGATGTCTGATTATTTTGCTGGCCCGTTCTCTTGACTGTGGTGGTTACTGGTGGAAGCCTTCTCGTACCGATTCTCTCTTGCTGGACGACATTCCTAAAGCCCTCTTTTTTTCTCCCGTTACAACTTCGTTCACGTTCCCTCTACTCCACACATCATTACTCCCTTTTCTTTCCCACTGTTCTGCCCCATCTTTCTTTTTTCTTCTATTTTCATCCCCCTATCCTATCCGCCTCCACCCCTTCGATACACGTGCAGGTGGGCACCCTATAGCCCTTTTCACAACGTGTCCACAAAGACCGTCTTGAATTAAGCTTGTGCCCCTTAAAAATTTTAAAATTGGGAAGTATTTGCGTACTAGGACGTCTGAAGAACTTTTCGCAGGGGGTGCACAGCAAGGGACGAGTGTGCAGAGCAGACCGGCAAGATTCTGCCGCGAAATCTCGAGCAAGCGCCCCTTTCCCCTTTTCGCTGAATTTGAAAAAATGCGCCAATGTCAGAGTTAGCGCCCCAATGGCCTCACTTCCCGCCATTTTCGTTTTCTTTTCAACCTGTTTGCTACAGAATCCTGCAGCAACGGTTCCTACTACAAGTTCTGGGGGTCTTTAAATACACGCATGATTTCTTACTGCATTTACTGTGCATGGTGCCTCATGGTTGCAATCTGGGTTGTCAAAATTTGTCAGAACAATCACCCTCCCCCACCCCTTCTGCCTCTCTCCGGACGATCAGTATGTGTACAATCTTGAAGAGAAACCATTTCAGGCATAGTGCGTGTGTTCTTCATCCTATTTTTTTTTTTTGCTTCATCCTTTGTTTTACGACATGCGTCGTCTTGCCTGGCTTGCCTCATGAGCTAGGTGTGTCAATGTTAACAAGTTTTCCTCTCATATGTTCCCTTCTGTGGTGAGTATAGAGGGGTTCGCCCAATTTATGTGCCACGTACTTGCGCTAGAGATTTTTCCACACACAGCGACGGAATGAACTAAGGCCATCCCTACAGCTTCAATGTAAAATTCAAACAACGGGTACTGCTCCGTGTGTCATAAAGGACAGTGTAAAATATCCGGCTTATTTTCACCCAATGAGGCTCGACCGTTCTTGCATTACGACATCTAAAGATACGGCTGCCGAAATCGATAACCTGCAGTAGGGCTGGTTAATGTTTAATCACTGATTGTATTTTTAAAATACAACGTTCGGTGAACCAAACTCTCAAACACATCGGCTAATTGACTACTGCGCTGAAAAATTTGTCCATATGAATATATGAAACTTAGCGCAAAGACGGAACGAAGGAAGGCAACACGACGAGCTGTGCCACCTTCCTTTGTCCCGTCGTCGCGCTGTTTCTTTTTTTTTTTTTTTGCAAGTTTAAAGTTATGTGCCAGATAGCTCGCCTTTCGCCGCTTCTCCAGTTCGGGATCACTATGTCCGCAATCTCGTGTGAAGCGAGAAATAAGCCATCCCTGAACTTTTTTTACGAGTTGTCACTTTCGGGATCCGACATTGCGTCCCCGGATTCCCAGGCGAATCCATTTGTCTGGATACAGGGAAGACTTTCAAATGTCCCTAACCGCTTTCACCTCGACGGTTGACAACTTCCACTTTTGTCGCATGGAGGCGTTCCTGTGCGATTCGGCCATTCGCTGGTGTTAAAGCGGTGGTTGATGATGCTGCCGAGTACCACAAAAACATACGCGGCGCTCTACCACATCCAATGAAAGAGAGAGAGAGAGAGAGAAAATCGATTGACTGTTTCTCGCTGTAGATTCGGAAACGTGGTCCGGTTTGTTTTTCCTATACGCAAGCGCAGCACGTGTTTAACATGAATGGCTTTGCTCGAGCACTCTGGAAAGATTCTGTTCAGATACTCCCTAACACTACAAATTTTAAACAAGGTGGCCGGCATCACAAGATGCGTCTCCCCTTGCGATTTTTCTGGATTTACGTCACCACCAATCTCCAGAGTGACTTAAATCTGAACGCCGCGATAGTGAAATATATAGCTTTTGTTCAACGGTTATGCCTCAATGCATATACTGCCCGCGAAAAATAATGTTCGAGTTAAGCCCCCGTATTAGTAGCTTACCCGAAGAAAGCGTTATTAATCGCAGTAGGCGAGTAACTAATGCGAATACCATTTAACATGTCATTCCTCGTGAAGACACGGTCTGCCAGAGAAACGTCGTGGGTCGCATTCACGCTACTCTTACTCTACAACGACTAAGTAAATTATAGTTTTATATAGCCACATAGCAAACATTTCAAAAAAGGGCAACTTTTGGTCACAACGAATCTAGGCGCTCTTTCGCCCCGACACGCAAGTACTTGGTTGCGCTGGTTGGTGCATATAGTAGATCAAGAACAACGCGGTGCTCGACGAGATTCAGTTAACTGGTGGGCGCTTTTACATCGGACAAATGTATCTATGCGTAAGTTATTGGTGGCTGAGCAAGCACTCTCTATTACCAGCCATTCGGAAGTTGGTTGGTTGGAACATCAAGTCCTGCGGGACGCGCCCCATAGCGCGCAGCGGGCGACTGCCACGTCGGGACCTCCAGGACAAGCCTGTCGGCCACATAGCGGGCCTGCTGGAAAGCCGGACCATTGTGGAAATTTTGGATGCCTTCATGTTGCAATGCGTTAACCAGGAATGACAAGAACCGCAAAAAAAAAAAAGCGTATATCACCATGTGTCTTTTCTCGTTCTTTTTTTTTTCGGTCTGCGTAAGTTTACATTGCAATACAGCATGAAGGCGTTTTAACTAGCCCGCGTTCCAGCCTTATCGCGGCTGTCATTGCGCAATTGCAAGCATTGCGAAATAACCTGCCGTCACACACGGACGCAGATGCGTTGAACAACGTTTCAAATTGCATAAAGTAGCTAGCAAGCACTTCAGCTAGCCGTATTTCACACTCACCTGTATAGGAGAATACCTTGCAGCTTCCTTGTAGAAAAATTGTACAATCTTGAAGGAAAACGTATGCGTCCAAGAGACTTCCTAAACTGAGGCTTCTCATGTGTTACTCAAACTCTTGCTACCTTCACATGGTGCCGCAGGGGAGGGGTATTCATACCCATTTACGGTATCGCACACGTTTAGCCTTGTCACCTTTCTTGTTTTCCATCACAATTCGTGTGTCACTTCCTATTCGTGTGCATAAGGGCCGCCTCGCGTGATCTGAACCTGTTATACATCGTCTGATTTTCAGGCATGGCCCATCTTTGGCGCTGTTTGATTCCCCTGCAGTCGAAATTCTTACCACGTTCTGACACAAAACTTGCGCAGATGCGGCTTCATTTTGTTTTGGTCATGTATACTTGGCCCGATTGTGTACTCCCCACAATGCGCATTTAGCGCCGCTTCCGTTCGACACCCCAACCCAAACCCGCCCCGAAAAAAAAAAAAAAAAAAACTGGAAGGTTGTCGCGACAGCGACTCCTCCCCTACGCAGCATGGACTCACTGCTGCGACAATATGGTGGAGATAAAGTGCGAAACGATGGAACACCGCTGTTGTAAATGTTAAACAGTAAATACAAGTTCAGCGTACACTAAGCTACCGCTTCGATCAGCGATAGAGCGAACAAGCACTAACTGTGAAGCAACATATGTTAAGATAGTTTGGACCGCATCTAGGCTACACGTAATGCAGCCCCGTACGAAAGGTTGACTGCCAAGGACGGCATTCTAAAACTATTGGGCTGGTTGTCCGGATGATCTAGTCTGAATGTCTGTGTTCTTAGGTGTCCTCGATTCGAATGCACTTTGGCCCTCGATTTTGCAAGTGCAGCTCGCGCCACGTTCCCGTCTCTTCTCGATTAGACGTCGCGATGCACGAATTCATCGGCACTCAAGCACTTAGCTTTCCCGCGAGGTCTCGTCGCCTACAAGTAGCGAAGTAAATGACGTGGCTGCACTTTTGCCCTCGATTTGACCACTGCATCGAAACTGCTATTGTGTCGTGCTACACTAACACTGCAGGAACTGGAGCGACACTTGCACGGCACTTTCGTGAACTACGTGCAGGAAGTGCGGCCAAATCGAAGAGGCCTCTTGTTGAGTTCTCCGCATGCTTCGCTCGAAGTGCCCAGATAACGGCGATGGCTTTAGACCGAAGGCCGACGACAACACCAGCTATAAGCATTCTTCATTTTCACACCATGTTACCAGACTCAAACTGCTTTATTTCAACACACACGCACTCACAGTGGTGATAAACTGCCTGAAAATAATAAAAAAAAAACAAGATCAAGGATAGCGCGCTTCAAGCGTGGTCTACGATGAGAAGTAGGGCAGTAGAGATTACAAGTAACAATGAAAACAAACAAACAAAAAGTAAGAGAAAGGGCAAAAAGCGAGCACTGCACGCCACTTCACATCGGTGGCGCTTGGGCTCCCATCTTTGCAGCCATCTTGGTCATGATGTTCTTGATCTTGGGGTTAGACTGATACTTGCCGATGTTCATCGGGTTTTGACTGATGTCTTGGAATGCCGCAGCCACTTCCGGATCCTGCCGAAAAAAACACAACCGCAACAGAAACATTTCGAAACCAGTAGCATACACAATAATATATTTGCCGGGATTATAAGTCTCAAGAACACATGATTATGATTGGCGCTGTGGTAGAGGGTTCCGCAAATTTCGAGACCGCCTCGGGTTACTTAAACTGCACCTATATCTACGTCACAGGCCCATAGAATTTCACATCTATCGAAAATACGATTACCGCGGCTGAGATTCGATCCTGCGACCTTCAGAAGTCGAGCGCCCCAACCACCAGACCTTCGGTGGCGGCGGGTCAGAAAACCAGAATCAAAACCGTCTCGCTACTGATCGTGTCTTGCTTCAACCGGGCCAATCTACCGACAAACTGAAGCCGAGCACCAAAAGGAACATACAACAAGTTTTCTAGTCGATTGTCGACCGGTTACGACGGAGTGAATTAAGTTATCTGTCGAGCTTACTCTTTGGACATGTCAACGTAAACATCATCAGTTTAAAGAGATGCAAAACCGCGCGTCGCCGCTCACCTGAAATGCGGCCAAGATCTCGGGGTCCTGGAAACAGTCTCCTAAGCCGCCGGGCATGCCTCCGGGGAAACCAGGAATGCCACCGAGATCGTCATCATCCTGTGATATTACACATGCATCGTGTACTACTTCAACGGGGCTCCCTCCGAATCACTATTTTCTGATCTCTCACAAACGCTTGGGAAAGCTACAAGAATGCTAGCACCGCCACGGTCAGCATTCGAACCCGCGACATCAGGCTCGGCAAAAGAATGTGAGGTGCAAGCGCGAGCCGCCGAAACTCTGCCATGATCCGACTTTTTTTTTCTTTCACCCCCCCCCCCCCCCTGCAAAAACGAAACACTAGCGCTATCATTCCGCAGAGAACCTTTTAGCTGAATGTAATGAGGGCCACTTCTTGATTGAAATTACAAGTGAGAAGCAATTCATCATATGGCTCATTACAGCAAAAGGCAAGTTTACTACTGTATAATCTCGCTTACTGCAATGTCATGCATGCATGCATACATTACATAAATGCACGCATACGCACCTGTGCTTCCTTCTGCTGCTGCTCGTACCTGCGCTGCTGCTCCTCGCGCGCCCTGCGCACCCTGTCGGCGCGCTCCTTCAGCTCGCGTTCCTCGCGTTTGCGCTCCCACTTGCGTCGGTGCTCCTGCAGCTTCTTGGCCTGCACACGACATCAGTCTCTTGGACTACCTGGCTTAACTTCTCAATTAAAACACACATACGCACACACACACACACACACACACACACACACATTGTCCAAGGCGCCACCAACTGCCTCAAATCGCATCATGTACGCGCGATCAACGTGTTGATGGCAATAGCGTTTTTTTTTTACCCTGTCCGGGATTCTGCGGAATGCCAAATCTATCGTATTACCGGATCGCGTGCGCAAACCTGCCACCCTGTCAAGTGGTGCCAGCTACGGAGGATGGAAAGCAACAAACACGTGATCTATCTTCCGACATTCTAGAAACACCCTTTCTAAGCCTATATACAGGCATTGATTAATATATGGCTCTCCAAAAATGGTGCCGAATCGACACGAATAGTTTGCCATCGAAGCTTAAGGACTGGAATGTAAAGCAAATGAAAACAGCAGCTCGGAGGTAACGAGCTACAGAGCGCATGATGACCACTAGATAAATTAGATGTGGATGGCGACCCATGGCAGTGCAGCCACGTTTTCCGGGCGCGCACAGGCACTGTTCTTCCCACTCGACATTCCGGCAAACGCAAACCTTTTTGCACATACCGAGATGCTTGCGAGACAAAAAACGGCCTAGTATCTAGCGCCTTCGTGGAAAAGTGAAGAAAGTGAGAAGCTGGAAAACATACGACATGAATCAGGGGCCACACTATGAGACGATCAATTTTTGTGACTAATAGAAGAGTGTTTCAGGGTCGGCGACTTCCAGCTGCCGGTGAGTCACCAGGCCCTTGTGCTCTACGCTCCCTGCGTCCCTCTATACGCCAGCCGTCCGCAAGGAGAGCCCACAAGAACTCATGAGCTCGGGTGCACAACACGCTTGCGTTGCGAGTGCTGAATTTCTCTAATGTCGCTATGCGTGACGTCGGATCTTGCGTCTTCAATGGCTGATGCCAACAGCTGCATTTCATCAACCCGCCAATTAGAGTTCACTGAAAGCAATATTGCGGGATCTCTCCAATTCAGAGTACGGGTCAGAAATGCTAGATTAAGTCTCCATATAACTTTCTTGGGGTTTTAGGCCCGTTCCACGCACTTACCGCACAGCCGCAACGCGCGTGCCGGGACCCCTACCACACGCAAGCGGGATACAAATATTATAATAAGCCAATTGGCGACGCTGAGCAGGGTGAAAGAGCGTCACCAATTGGCTTATTTGTCCCCCGGTTGCGTGCGGTAGGAGTCCCGGGCACGTGTGTTGCGGCTGTGCGGGAAGCGCGTGGAACGGCCCTTGCGTCGCAAAATCACGACAGGATTGTGAGGGACGCCGTAGTGGAGGTCCCCGGGCAATTTCGACCATTTGGTGCTCTTCAACGTACGTGCACTAAAATCTAAGTGCGAGGGCATCAAGCAGTGCACCTTGATCGAAAATGTGGCCGCCGCTGCAGAGATTCGATCCCGCGACCTTTCGGGTCGGCAGTCTGGCAACACACTCACTGGACCTAGACTATGGCGGGTTCCCACGGCAAGCTTCAAGATGTGGTTTTTGTTAGCCATGACACCCGGTTTAGCCCAACTACATTCCGTGGATGAAAAAAAAATTAAATATACACGCAAGTCACCAACTACGCTGTATCAATGTACGTCGATCGTGTCGGTGTTTTCACGCTACCGTTGTGCAGTTTTTTTTTTTTTTGCCCCTTCGGTTTTCCCACTCCAACGACAAAAAGCGGGCCAGGAGCGCGTCAAAACAAAACGAGCCGAGGCTCGAAAATTTACGCGTTTATTTTCGTTGTTCGGAGAAGCCATAACTCCTCCAACGGTTTCCCGCCAAAACGAACTCGCGGTTCGCCCTTCCGCAAACACCCGACTCGACCGGAGAAGAACACGGCCCCCGTTTTTGATACGCGCATCGTCGAAAGCTCAACTGGGAACGGGACGGTCACTAAAGTTACCCCGTGGAACCCTCTTATCACTGGTAATAAATGTTTTCAGCGGCCTACACGTAAAGCCGCGTTATACGCGCGCTTACACGGAAGGAGACCGAGCACACAGGAGAGGCAGCACAGTCGCGATCAATACCAAAGGGAACACCCAGATCATGTTCAAATAAACGGTTACTTGCAACGTTATACAAATGTCTGACGCATCGAACAGCAAAAGATGCATCTCCGCTTGGGCATTTCGTGTGACGAACAAATGTGCGCTTGCCGAGCGCGTACAACCGCCATGACCTGATTGATTGATTGATATGTGGGGTTTAACGTACCAAAACCACCATATGATTATGAGAGACGCCGTAGTGGAGGGCTCCGGAAATTTCTACCACCTGGGTTTCTTTAACGTGGGCCTAACCGTAAGCACACGGGCCTGAAGCGGTTTCGCCTCCTTCGAGAATGCAGCCGCCGCGGCCCGGATTTGATCCCGCGACCTGCGGGTCAGCAGCCGAGTAGCCACTAGACCACCGTGGCGGGGAAGAGGGAACACTGGAATCACATTCTAAGGTCATGGCTGTTTTCCGATGGAGGCGGAAATGTTGTAGGCCCGTGTGCTCAGATTTGTGTGCACGTTAAAGAACCCCAGGTGGTCGAAATTTCCGGAGCCCTCCACTACGGCGTCTCTCATAATCATATGGTGGTTTTGGGCCGTTAAAACCCCAACGATCCTATTCAGTGTTCCCCCTCATACGGCTCCCGACTGTACGTTTCGGGACAAAGACGGGGGCCAAAGGGCACGCAGAGGAGAAGGCCCTACACCCCAACTCGAAACGAAACAGTAAGGTGAGGAAAGAAGTAATCGGCCTCGAGTTTTGCCCTAAAACATCGTCTCCTTCAGTAGGCATCAGCTCGCCAAAGAAATACTAATTCCCGAACGAAAGCACGACAGGAAAGCCACTAAAAGAACTATAGTGGTAAAGGACCTGCCTGCTTCATATCGAAATTTTGTTCGTTTCCATCACTAAGCGGAGAAAGCAAGTTCACTTAAAGAATTGTGCCCAACCAACACAAACGCTGTGCCATTTGCACTCGCACACATCCCTACTAAAATAATTACATAGTGTGTTACTCTCTTGGTTTCCTGTTGAAGTAGCTCGACGTATCTCGAGATTGTTACCTTTCTGTAGGCCGTCTATTTTAGGTGCCTTCGTAGCCTTTCTGCCAGTAGAAACGCGTCCACAGTCATTTCGTTGAGGTACACTCGAACGTCACGTATTGCTTTTCAGGAAAGGTTAGCAATAGTTTCCAAGAGCCCTCGCATTGCTTCGGGTGCATGATAAATCCGCAAAGAACCACGAAGGAGCAGAGTTAATTAAGTATGACTCAACCATCCACTCTAGCACGAAGGAGTTGGCAGCATCCCTCTGTTTTTTAGAGTGTACTGTTCTGTGCCAACGTCTAGACACGATAACTTGTCTTCTCCAAGGACAAAACAAACCTTGTGCAAACGTAGGTACAGGATTAGGTCACCCCTTCTCACACTCTTTCTTTCCTCGCACTTTTCTCTTTAATTCACTTCGACACCATCAGCTATAAGAACAGCTGTAACATACGTATAACACCTCGCGATATTACTGATCACACGTACAAAAACGCATACGAGCGCGCACCCTGCACGCGTTATCGCGTTCCCAGGATTCCTCGGCGCTATAGAATTACAATGTCCTTACACACACACCATCGCAGCAGCATCTAGAGTTGGCACGTCCGCAAGACATCCCGGCCCCCCACCCCTACACCACGAAGCATGCCCCTGAAACATCATTTTTATCCCGTGCGTGGCGGACGATGCAAATTGCCGGCCACGCTTACGCGCACGGTCCCATATCGGCGGCGAAAGACCGGAGTCGAAGCTATAGCGCCAGGGAAAGGCGGCGGCCGGCTCTGGGTGCAGTGGCAAGGGGAAAAGCCAAACACATTCCATGGTCCCCGAGCGGGACACACCTGAGCCACGGTCGGAGTAGATGCTGCGGGCAGAGCTAAAACGAACACAGCCAGCGAGCGCGTCCTCTGCGGCAAAGCAGAGAAAGAAGAGGCGAGGCGACCAAGAAGACGCTGGCAAGGCACCAAGGGGCCGGGGTCCCAAACTTAGGTTCTCCCCTTTCCTCTCGTCTTTCCCCCTTGCCCTCGATTGTAAGAGAGCGGGAAGGAGTGGGGCACGCAGCTCGAATCCGGAGCTAGCCCCCGAGTGCGTTAGCGGGCGACGGGACGAAAAACCGGGGCTGCGGGGAGACCCTGGGAAAAGCCCACGGTCGCGGGTTAGTGCTGGCTGTGGTCGAGCAGCGGAGCACACACACGCCGTGGTGCGATCGATTCACCGGGAAACGAGAAGACACCAACGACCGGCCGCTGAGCGGAAGGACGACGACGAGCAGCGAGGCGGCGACGCTCTAGCAGCGGCCTCGACATGGCACCGGCGGCGGACGAGCAGAAGGTCAGCCTGGACGCCCGAGGCGTGCTCATCATGCTGGTCGCCCTCGGAGGAATCGTCGGCCTTTGGGTGAACGGTGAGTGCGGCGGCGCCGAGGAGACCGTCGCGATGCGCAGTGGTTCACGTACACGGACGCACGGCTCTCTGTCGACGTCCTGGAAGCGGATGCAAGGTCGGCCCCGACCGGCTGATGCCGCAGACTATTCTGCGGCCTATGCATGGGGGTGCCTCGAGTATAGCGAGGGCATGACGGTCTATCACGCTGGTCAGTCCAGATTCGCCAACGCTTCTTTGGTGCACGTTTGTTTGCACTGCCTAAGAGTTGACTGACGTTACTACTACAAGACATTACAAAATGTCCGGCTACAATATGGAATTTTCCCATAGGGCACAATAGCCGCAAACGCTTTTCCTTTAATGACCCAAAGAAAAAAATAGATGTTTGCATTACATGACAGTGCATAAAGAATATTTGAAAGTCGTCCAGTCAAGGATACATCTATTGGTATACCTGTGCTGGATTAGAGCGGAAACAAGCGCCAAATTCCGTTCTTTTACTCCGACACCAAGGCAGCGCAAAGACA